AATTAAATGATAAGTTAAAAGTAAGAATGTAGATATTACCATGTCCCTTCACCATGAAGTAGGAATTAAAACAAATTAGCCAAATCCATTTGATGTAAATATAATATAGGGCATGGTAATATTATAAGATAATACTTTAAGATATCTATTGGATTCTTATAAGTTTGATGTAGAAAGCTTGGGCTTTGATAAGTATCAGCATATCTATATCATCTAAAAGCAAATCCAAAGGTCAAATTATTCAAAAAACAATTAGCCAACTGACAGGTTGATTACAATGCCTTTTCCTTCTATGCATAAAAATTTAATGTGATTGGATGATTTCTAAGAAACAAGTCAGCTTATTGGTCACAAAAATTAGTTATAATTTTCTAAAGCTTCAAGACAGCCGAGCGATCAGTTTTACTAATTCTAAAGATACAAGGGTTTTGATTGGCTACATTAAGTCATGTGACAACATACTTCTGGGTATCCACCATGTGAGCCACAAGATCTGATTTGTCAGTGGAAACAGCACGTTCCAGGAAAAAGAGTTTTTTCTTGGATTCCGCTCGTTGAGGAGTGGGCCTGATTAAAAGTGGATGATAAATAGGTCAAACTTCTCAAATTAGGTCACAGCAACCCCCTAATAATATCACACCGATAAAATGCAATTAATGTTAAAACACAATGATCAAATAATATATAAATCCAATCAAATAAATACATAAAAATTAATGCAGTAATAAATAATATACATGAGGGCTAAAATCATTTTTCAAAAATTAGCTTGTTATCACACAACATCAATAAAATACATAAATTTTGCTATTCAAATTGTATATCAGTTCAATTATTGTAACTAATGCTTTATTGGTAAAAGGGCAATTTCAATCAAATGATATGCCTTATCAACAGGCTATTTAAAATCTGTTATTCCATAATCACTGGCTGTTATGAAAAGTCATGTTAAGCAACATTTTATAAAATTATTCAAGTTTTTTAAAAGCTGTGCAAAGAGCATATATACATGATCTTTATGAAGAAAAAAAAAAAAAAAAAAACTTCAAGTTGGTAATTTTTAAACTTTTCCCTTGACAAGCAAGGCATACCTTATCCAGAACCATTGACAAAACTACAATTTATAAACCTGTTTTTGACTTTCCAATTTCTGGTCAATCCTGTAATGGGGTCTTTTTTCACAATTATAGCAGAAAAGTGACAAAAAAAAAAAAAAAAAAATCAGCACACAACAAACAAAAAGTTCTGTGACAGAAGCAGTGACATGTATCAACGGAAGACTTTAAGGAGTTATTAATTTAACAAACAAGCAAATATCTAAACAATTACAAGACAGTATCCTACAAGTTTCATAAACAGAGTACAAAATGCACAACAAGGAAAACACTCCATGCATTCAGTTAAGATACAATTATGCTGAATACTAGAAGATGTCTGGCTTAATCACATCTTTTTAGGAGAATATGTTTTCGTCAAAATTGGTTTGTCTGTTTCTGTGCTTGTTAGCCACATTAAGGAATAAGTTGTGAATGCATTTTTATGAAAATTTTAGGAAAGGTTAAAAATGTTACATCTACAATAAATAAACTAGAGTGTGGGTTCACTAAAGAACTAACGACTATAAGATTCAAAATTTGTTGATTCCTTTATCAATTCAGAGTAAATATTAAAAAGTCAACTATTAAAATGAAGTACTATCTCTGTCTTAATCTGAGACCAGTCTTTTGAAAGTGTCTAACATGGTAAATGCAACTGCAAACATGATAACCTATACTACTATACCTCACTGTCCTTGATCCAAATTCCGCTAAATTTAGACAAGAACTGCGAAGAACACATGCTCATTTTGAAAACACCTTATTGATTATGACTTCCTACCTTTGTTTTTTTTTTTTTTTTTTTTTTTTTTTTTTTTTTTTTTTTTTGTTGTTGTTGTTGTTCAATTCTTGTTCTCATTTACAGTCATTAAAATATGGCATCTTATCATACATATGCCAAATCATATCTTACTTGTATACTACTGAAAACAAAAAAATTAATATGCAGGGCTGGGCCGAGCACCAATTCCTGAGAAAGCGAAAATAGATTTTTTATCAAGAAAAATTCAATATGGCAGGATACCTTGAGTTATCAATCTGAAAGCAGAGAACCTACTTGTTTTCCACGTCAACTCCCACCATGTCCTTTTTCTCAAACGGTGCCGAGATCAGCTGCATCTTCTTTTCGAAGGACCTGTCGAGCCGTTTCCCCTCCAACACCCAGAACAAGGTCATTACAAATTCCTTCACCTAGAATATGTGAGAATAAGACGAGATTTAAGGCAAGTACAATTACCAGGTTACGGTCCAGCTGTCTTTTTGACTCCACATTTCAATTCTGACCAGCTATTTTTCCACATTTTAATTGTTAGAGCATATGGAAATTGATGGCCTTTTTCATACCTAGCAAGAAAATGATCCTTTAGGACTCTTTTTTTTCAAAATCTGGACTGAACTTCGATTTAAGGCAAATGGGGAGAATTTATTTGTGAATAATAATTCTCATTTTTCATAGAGATCATTTCAAGCTTAGGAATGCAGGCGAATTTGAGCCAGGTGCACATTCAGAAAAAAAAATGAATAGGTAATAATTTCAGCTGTACTACATTACTATAAATGGACACACACTATATACAAAAGTTAAACTGACCCAGTATATCATCACAATACCTTTTCCTCCAAATCTGGACACTTGTCAATATCAGCATAGAACCATATATGTGACTTGGGGTCCTTCCCCCGGCTGCTGCTCCGTCTTGACCCTGACGGTGACCCACTGGCCGGAGTAGACTGACCACTGGGTGATAGGTGACCCTGTTTTTTCTGTTGTAAGGGAGAGTCACTGGTCAGCTGACCTTTCTTGAGTGCCAACTGACCACCAGGTACCGTACCCGATTTCTTTTCCTCCGTCTTTTCTGAGGAATTTATGTCTGATTTGACTAATTTTTCACTCACAGAGTCAATTTTTGATATTGCAGTTGTTTCTTCTGGTTCATATCTTAAAGGGTCCTTTATTTGAATATCGCCATTTTTAGTTTTGAGATCTCCATCTTTAATTTCAAGTTCTCCAGTTTTAGTTACAAGATCTCCATTTTTAGTTTCAAGATCTCCATCAGGAGTGTGAGCATTTTCTTTGTCCGATTCGCTATTGGCATCTTTAGTTTCAGCTGCCACTATATTAGTACTAGTAGATCCCTGTTTATCACTCCCCTCCCCACCAACAGATGTCAGCAGTGTGGGGTCATTGGGGTCAGACTGTTGCATGCTGGGAGAACCATCTGTGTTCATCCCAAAGACAACAAGTCTGGAGTCATACATTGTGGAACTGTATGCGTTTTTTTCATCCTCGTAGGTTTGGTAAATGTCCTCCATTTCCTCGGTGGTTCTTGCTTTGCCAATACACAGCAGACCCAGAACCTGTACAAAGTATAATACAAGAGGTAAAAAGTTGGTGACTGATAAGTACATAACAGTTTTTTTCACTTTTTACCATCTTAACACAAGTGACTATTACAAAACTTTACCTCACAGCTGATTTTGTTTATAAAATTTAAATTTCAGACATGATTATCATATCATTATCATACATTGGCGGGATAGAAAGGCATTAGGCTGAGACATCATAACTTGAATGGAAACACACTTCAAGTGAAAATGGTTACTTATCATAAGCACAAAGTGTGCTGAAAAATAAGGTGCTATGTTGAGACATCACATTTTTGCCAAAAATATCTCTTCAAAGGGGATGGCTTGAAAAAACTATCACAATCTTCTTAAATAAAACAAAGCTAAGTTGAACCATTACAACTTCAACATGAATGCGCCTTCAGTTACCTTTCGGTGTGCCTGAAAATCACCCCATTCATTATTCTCTATGGGATATTGGCTCTTGTAGCGCATCCAAACTGTCCGTTGCTGGTTCGGGACATGCACACACTCCACACGACCAATCCTGTCATAGACACGACCAAAGGACTTGGGTTTTAGTTCGGCACCGACCAGTTTAACCAGTATAAGTATGGACTGGTGGTCCTCTGCTTTCTGACTGTAGTCAGGGAAACTCATACTGGTGTCTTCATGCTGAAATTTAAAGGGAAATATTTTGGTAAGAAATCGGTTAGAAATTTAAAGGGAAATATTTTGGTAAGAAATCGGTTACACTAGAAAACTATACAGCAGACATGCATATCTTTATACTCCTTTACCAGATGTGTGTGTGTGTGTGTGTGTGTGTGTGTGTGTGTGTGTGTGTGTGTGTGTGTAGGGGGAGGCACAAGTGAGAGAGAGAGGAGAAAGAAGAAGAGACAAACTTGTGCAAAATCTCTCTGCTGAACAAAGGAAGGCAAATATAGAGTAGGTGATGATAATTTTGCAGCAATATGTAAGGCAAAAAGATGGTTCCATTGTAGCTTCAACATGTGAACAAGTACTCGGAATAGGCTGAATTAAAGGACATGCAGAGATAAGAGAATGAATTCTGGGAGGGGGGGGGAAGCCTAGACAACTCCTCGCCAGTGGTACCTACTTTGATACAACGATCTTCATCTTATCTTCCAAACACAGCAACAGGTTAGTTTGATTCTACATTATGCCAAAGTTAACATGAAATTAAATTATTAAAGTACAAATAAAAGGAATTATTTTCCTCTTTTAGCAATTTCCTGACAAGAAGAGATTACAATTGTAAGAAATGTTCAACTAAAGATTGAAATAGGATTAAAAATCTTAAAGACAAGGAAAGGGTATTTATCATTGCATGACTCCTATCTAAACCTTATCTATATCAAGATGATTTTTTTTCCATTAATTTAACAATAAAATAGTAAAATATTTTGGCGAGTTACAGTATATGCTTGTATGTATATTAGCATGAAAATTCATACGTTAGCACTCCTATTGACCTTGTGTTAGCACACTGTGTGTTAGCACAGCCAGTACATATATCAGAATCGTCAATAGGAGTGCTAAGGCATGAATTTTCGTGCTAGTATGTATATATATATATACACTGCACTTTTTAATATTATTCTGTTTACTGCTATTTCTTACTGAAGAGATATGTGCTTTTACATGAAGGGATGGGGGAGGGGCGCTAACCTTTCAATATCATACAGTACAACAAGACAACGTCATCAATGAACAAATGTCAACACAACACGTCGATAACATTTACGTTATTCGTTATTTATGTCATAAAATACTCCCCAATTTCATTATCATTATCGTGTCCGAAAACATTAACTGACATTGCCACACAAAATAAATTATTCATAAAACATAATTCTTTGAAGACAGAGTTATTTCATTCAAAAGAAAAATCAGACAGGTTATTTTTGGCATCGCAGTACTAAACTTGTGAAGTGAAGGGTGTATGGTAGTCGACAAAAATGGTCCAGCTCAAAGTTCAGCCACTTTGTTTCTTAAAATTAAAGGGCACTCAACATACCTGAGCTTCCTGATCATATGATTCATCATCTGCGATGGATAAAGCCCATGCAGATCTCTAAAGTATATTGCACTGGTTAGTTATGATAAATTTTCTGCTTCATTCAAGTTTTGCGTACGACTTGTTCCGCCATGATGGATTGAAGTCACGCGAAGTCTCGCAAGCTGCGTGACATTTGTATATGTGGCACGAAGGTTTGAGGAGGGGGGGAGGAGGGGAGAAGACAGCCAGAGAGAGAGAGAGAGAGAGAGAGAGAGATGGTATAACACCTCAAAGATAACTCTACTGCTTTCCACTGTTTTTCACATATTGGCTGAGCCAATATGTGACATAAGTCCCCCCAGAAACCACAGACAGATACAAATTGCGTGTTTGATAATCAACTTAGGCCTACTGTGGCTTCTGTTAACATGTGCAGACGAATATTTGAAGAGGAAAATTAATGAGAACGCATGCACCATATTTCTCTGTCGTGTCATTTGATTGGGTTTAACCATGATTTTTCTTTTATTCTTTCTATCTTTCAAAGTTCAAATGGCAGATAGGGGGCCTAACAGAGAGAGAGAGAGAGAGAGAGAGAGAGAGACGGATATAGGCTATCTGATACATGTAGGCTATAGGCCAAACTCCTCAAAATAACTGTACTGGCAAGCTTATGTTCCTGTAGACTGATCCCATCAGTCCCCGACACCACATATACAAATTGTGGTTGACTGCTTCAACATTTGCGTGTGTGAGCAGACGAAATTAATGAGAACGCCATGCACCATAGGCTATTTTTCCGCCGTGTCTTTGAATAGCTTTTAACGCGATATTTCTTCCAGAGAGAGAGAGAGAGAGAGAGAGAGAGAGAAAATTAAGACGATAACTGGTATGACTCCTCAAAATAACTGTGCTACTTTCGACTGAGCCCAGAAGTTCCTGACGCCACAAACACAAGTTGTGGTCGACTTCTTCAACATTTTGCTCCTATGAGCAGACGAAATTATGGAGGAAAATAAATGAGAACGCATCACACGCACCACATTTCTCCGACGTGTCATTTGAATGGATTTTTCTTTCATTCTTTCTACCTTTCAAGGGCAGAGAGAGAGAGAGAGAGAGAGAGAGAGAGAGAGAGAGAGAGATGGACGGATGACTAGGCCTATCAGTCGAGGGGTGCGTTGCACTTAAACCCAGGCACCTTGTTATAATTAATGCTACAAGTTATGACCCCATCATAATCAAGTTATCACATCAAAGTTGGACTTTGCATCTTATCTTGTAAACAAAATACCTATGGCGTGGCTCGAACGTTCGGGGCCAGACAGTCATACTCGGGTTGTTCTCTGCCCTTTTTGAAATCTTATTTTCTTTGAGGAATAAATAAAATTTATTGCAAAATCAAATTTCTATGTTCTTTTAGTTTTACACGATTTTGTAAAGATAAACACCACCAAAAAAGTATGATTTTATCGGAAAAAAAAAACGAAAACGGCCGACGATGACCCTGAGGACCCTCACAAAACAATTAAGTCCTATTTTTTTCGATTTCATACTTGGTCTAGTAAGCTATGCACCGAATTAATTACTTATGTACATATTTAACAAGTAAGATTAAAGAGTATTGACAATAAGTCACAACAAAGACTTTTATCTACTATCCAAAATTCTCACGATGACTTGAGCCCGACGACATTCTGAGAACGTGACGGTGCTCTGGACTCTGCCCAGAGCTGCGTGCACTAAGACAGCATTTAAACTTGGGATAGCTATTCTTGTAAATAGACATAGATTGTTTTCTGAACTCTGTCACTCTTAGCCTCAAGCCCAACCTGAACAATAGGTAGAGTACGTAGGACAGAAAGACTTGAAACTCTCAAAAAGCGGCTCTGCCCGTCCAGTGAATCAAAAAAGACGCTGTCCTCACAACCGTGATTATTTTTGGAAAAAAATCTGTTCAGTCTTCTTCGGTGTGGTTTTCTGCGTGGGGCTACTTTCTAACTGAATAATGCACGGCGAATCCATGGACTGAATTATTTGCGCCAGAGGTCCGCAAGGTGACCATACACTGAGGAGAACGACACCACACAGAGAGGTTGCCCAATAATTTATGGACAGATCTTTGCTTTAGACCTAACAGATCATTTATTGGGGTTGAACAAACTTTTATCAACAATGAACGAAGCAGAAAACATCGTAGATTGGAGATGGAAAGCAGTGACAACGATACCTCCATGTTCTTTTCTTTTCTTTTTGACATTAAGCACTCTGATTAAGTATTTCGGGACTCCGGCAATTTGTGCGACCATACCTCAACGCTGGAAAAGCTACGCAACGTCATGGTCACACGCTCTCATATCAGGGTGCTTTGCGCTCTACGTGTAAGCCGTTTTTTTAATCTTCTCGTATATTTATCTTAGTACATTTTAACATGATGCCACGTAAAGTACCTACTCTCTACCAGGGCCGTAGATTAATTACATGCACTTTTTCTAAAGAAAATCGAGTCAAATAATCTAGCTTGGGACATATCTGTGAATATCTAGTAGAAAAATCATCTGTGACCCTGGTAGACAGTACGTACGCAGATTCCGAAAGATATTCTGTAAGAGATTTTCGCACTAAATTGAATTTTTCCGGTGAAAAAATAGGAATTTCTCCTACTCACATATCATTGTTCGAACAGTTCCTGCACTTGGGTCTGATATTTTGCACCATTTCTAAATAAATATTTGTTTTCTAAATCATGTAGGAAATATCAATGCCAGGTACGCTTCAGATAAAATTTTATTTTAGAGGGCATATCGATTTTTATGTTTGATGAGAGGTTTTCGGGATATTTAGACAAAAATATAATTTTGCTTGGAATGCATTTAAGTATAAGTGTGAAGAAACGAACCGCTCCTTCAATTTGCTATTTTGATATCAATGAGATAGGTGATGTAGGCTTAAATGACGAACACTGTAATTGTTGACAGTACCCAAATGATCCCATCTTCATTCAACAGGCCTGGATTAGTTATCTATTTACTTACAAGTGTCAAACCGATGTACTCTGTCCCCAGCTAGCATTAGACCTATCAAATCCAACCCCCCCTAACCCTCCCCCCCCCCTTCAGAGTTCAGATTTTAATTTTGAGATTTAATTTCTTCTATTATAAACATGATATAAACTGCGTTTCAAAAGTCACTGGAGATCACCTTTATCAGCCCGCCTCTGCCATTTCTACTTATGCCTACACCCTGCGTTTCACAGGTGACTGAAGATGATCTATTATAAACATGTCTTTGCCGTTTCCAGTAACAGTCTGCGTTCAAAGTCCACTGAAGACCTAATTTCTTCTATTAACAGCATCTCTGCAGTTTCTAGTAATAACACCCTGTGTTTCACAGCTCAGTGGGAATAACTTTTATATTATCAGAACTCCTCTGCCATTTATAGTTAATACCCTGAGTTATATAGAGGTCCCTGGAGATTTGCTTCTTTTCTAAAAAGGACTTTGCCGTTTCCAGTAGCACCCTGCGTTTGAGAGGCCACTATCTATAGAGACTTAATTTCTATTATCAGCATCTCTGTCGTTTTTAGTAATACCCTAAATTTTAAAGGTCACTGCAAACTTAAGCTGTTCTTAGGATATTTACAGCAAAAGCCTGCTGACGATAATAGCAGAGATGAGGCTCCAGCTACCCCTGGGGATCAGGGTGAAACAAATTAGAGAGGGATTAGATTGGCTTCTCATGAATAGAAATATCAGCACCCAGCCTGATGAAATAGCATTGCCCGAAGTTGAGTCGTCAACGAATGTTAATTCACCTTCAGGGCTGCTCGTGATTACTGCGCTCCTTGAGTTATTAACAGTTATAACTAGCCTCCGGACAACTCAGGTCGAAATATTACTAAATTAATAACTGCAGGTACCATTTAGTGTACCATTTATTATGAGGTTAATCTATGGTCCCAGCGCCTATGGTTTTACTGGATTTGCGTATCAGCGCATAGATACGAAGTATTTCTACGGTTATTTATCGATCTTACTTATTGGCGGATAGAAAATCAGTGTTTAAATGGTGACTTATCGTTTTAAGTTTCGAGCAATCATGAACTGGAGCAAGGTCTGATTTTTTGTCAAAACAAGTTGTAGAATTGGTGATTTTTAATAATTTTTAAACAGTACTTCATACAGTTATTACCTTCTAATAAAATTAAGGGACGCTAGTACTATTGGTCGCCAACCCACATAGTTTTGAGCACGAATAAAGAAGGATCTATTTATTTATTTATTTATTTATTTATTTATTTATTTATTTATTTATTTATTCTAAAGTGAAATAATGTATATGGATATTGGTTTTCGTATTTGCAGGGTTCTCACAGAGACAGAATTTATGCAAGACCGTCCCGAGGCCTTCTACGTCCACTGCTTCTCTGTGGGTGGGTAAGATTCACAAGTCGACCAAAATTTCTGAATTACCGACAAGTAGATCGCCTCACTTTTTATCAACAAAAAATGTTCGTGTCTTTTTACAATAAGACATTCAGATACTGAAAAATCACCACTTTGGCTATAAGTGTCGAATGATATAATACTCACATGTACATACTTTTTGTGTAAAAAGGACCGCGAGTTCTGCCACAATATTATTTAACCGGGCGTAAATGTTAGACCCACGGCAAAAAATTTCATTTACGCCTTTGCAAGATATTACATAAACCTTGGAACTGTCACCAACCACTGATGCAAAACATGCTTCGGATTTTCACCTTGAAGTAAAAGAGAAATCTGTACATGTCTTAATTAGAGTAACCTGAATGTGTGAAATAAAATTCACCACGCGGTTCGATGGAAACTTGCCTCCATATTTTTATTAATCAGTTTGTATCTGTCATTTGCAGTAGCACCCTGAACTTACGAGGTCACACGCCTCAGTAACAGTTCGATCAAAGGCTCTATTCCCATAGATTTTAGATCGATCTATCCCCGCGGGGAGTCTCACTAGATTACTTTCAGATAATCCGACTTAAATGTCCGTCCCGCCTACTACAAGCTGTAAGGGGATAATTAACTTTCGTGTCCGCCCGGCTGTTTAGCGTGAACCCCCAGGGAGTTAGGTCGATCTAAAGTAGGTCGATCTAATCTATGGAAATGGGGTGAAAGACACACTAACTGATGATAAAATATACAAGGCTTTTCAGTGACCTTTTGCAACTCAGAGTAATGGACACCAGCATATGCATAGAAATATCGCTGAAATATATTTTCTGGATGTTTCAGGTTATTTTGTGTACGACTTCTTCGATATGTATTTGGCCACTGAGAATATAGGCTCCTGGGATATGTATCTACATCACGTGGTGGTGAGTATAGATAGTGGGTGTGTGTGTGCGCGCGCGCGCGCGTGCGTGACTGTTTGTGGATGTGTGTGCGTGCGTGTGTGTGTACGCGGGTTCTACACCATGTCGTCGTGAGTATTGGAAATCGATGTGCGTGTGTACTTGTTTGTTTGTATTGTGTAAATGTGTGCATTTATGTGTGCGTGTGCGTGTTATGGCAATGTATCTACACAATACGGTGGTCTGTATAGGAAACCTGTTGCTGCATATGAGCATTCTTGCGTGCCTATTCGTGTATGTATGAGTTTGTTTTTTTAAAGCCATGTATCTGCACTTTGTGACGGTATCATTATTATGTATCTAAAAATACGTAAATGAACAGCATGTGTGTGCCTTTGCTTATGTACGTATTTGCATGTAACATGTAACACGTGTGTTTCAAAATGCGCGTGTACATTCACGCGCGCCTTCAAACACACACGCAAAGAATAAATAAATAAAGAAATAAAGAAATTCACAACCATCCCCGTGCGTCTTATTCAGATCACCTTCTTCGTGACGTACGCGTACTTTGAATGCGGCTGTAGCGGTTACGGGGCCTGGAACTACCTGTGCGAACTGTCCAACGTGGCCCTCCACGGCCGTAAGCTGGTCACCATGCTAGGCCACAGCAAGAAGTCCAGCCTCTATAAGGGGATGAATCATTTCTATTTCTGTACGTTGGGCATTTTTTATATCTTACTATACTTAAAATAGTTGAATGTGGTTTAGCTTCAGCTATCGTATTGGACTGGTCCATAGTAAACACATAACGTTTTTGTTAAATAAACGTTATGGTTACGTTATAATAACGCTGGACTAACGCTATTACCCGAGTTTCAGAGGTCATTGGAATTTAAGTTTCACCATCATACACCTCTGTCGGTTTTGGTAACTGCAGTTCACTCTACAAGGGCTACAGATTGATTTCTTTTTCACTAGATATCAATTTTGTGCACTTGCGCTGTGTCCAGCGACAATTTTGGTATGGACGATTTGTTCATCTTTATATTTAATATATTCAGTTATATATGCATACCTGTATATTTATTTACATATTCATTTATCCATTTATGTCACCGTCTATTTATTTGTTTATTTTGCTAAATGTATGGCAAAAATTTACCACAAAGGGCAGAGTTTGTTAACAGGTTTTCCTCATTCTTCTTGCAGTCACCTTCTTCGTCTTCCGTTTCGGACCACAAGTTTTGGGCCTCCTCAAGTATCTCAGCGAGGTCATCGCTCTCCGGGTCTCCCTGCTCTGTGCTTTCCTCTGCATCCCTAACCAAGTGTTTCTAGTCTGGATAGGCGTGGACATCGCCTACAGGATCACCTTGAGAGAGTTCTTCCCGAAGGAGAAAAAAGAAGATGGCGGAAAGTTGACGCGAAATGGCGGCGGTGGTGGGATCAGCGGGGCGAAGACATTGAAGACAGGGTAGTAATCTGGAGTTCATGTACTGAGAGTTTGATAGAGATATACTGCGTGATCTAAGGCGTATATAAGAACAAAAAGCACACATGTACGTTTTCCTTCAGTTTATTAATTTAATTAATTATCATATTTATTAATATTTATGATAATATGCCAGTATGTGTATCGTTTATGTATGCTGTGAATATGCATTACTATTTTCTTGTACCCCTACATAAGATAGTCCAATCTACTAGGATTTCACTATTTCTTCCAGTATCTACCAGTATCTTGCATTGTTTTAAAAGGAAAGAAAAAGAAGTTTATAAATTAACTCAGTGAAAACATAAGGAAAGTTGACCGCAAATAGCCTGACATTCATTTAAAGCTTTAAAACCAGTTTAACTGAGAAGTTGACTGTTAGAGATTATTATTGAGATTTCTTGTAGATAGATTTAAAGTTCAGTGGAGAGGAATGCTTATTGGGACATTGAGATGGAAATTGCAAAGACTGAAAAAAAGACTGCAATCTGAATATGGTCCTTTTGCGTTTCAAGATTTAAGTCTTAGTAGGTAATTGTTGCAGATAATTAAAAGAATTGCAGTTGTAATTTGTGTTTAAGGAAAAAATCTAAAGGAAAGAGATGCAGTGTTTGCACGTAACGTTGTCAACTCTCTATTTACTGATGGGCGCATATGCTAGGAGTTGGAAGTGAAGTGAGTAAATGGTAAACACGCGTTTTGTAGTTCGTGCGTCGTGCATTGTTGTAATAATCAGAATAGTCTGGTATAATATTTAAATCAGTGTAGTTTCGTGTAACAACTATGCAGTAAATGGCAAGACTACAGTGGTTCTATGGTTTTTACCTGTATATACATCCAGTTTCTTTTCACAGGAGACAAACATAGCTGCTTGATAAATAATTTGTTCCAAAGTAAGTAAAGTAGTAAATAAGTAAAACATAAGTAAATATTATAATTATGAAAATCATTATCTTATTCTTACCCCTGCAAAGATTATAACACAATGACGCTTTTAAAGGCGATTTATTCTCGATATTGTATATTTTACATATTCACTGGCTAAATAAATATTTAGCTTATCTTAATTATCTTATGGAAGTTACTTGTGCAAACTTGTGTTTGAAACTTGGCAATTCTTTAGCTAGCAGTTCCTCAAAACCTAAAATGTAGGCCTATCTGATGAAAAATAAATAGAACATTCATTCGCAAAATAAATAAATAAATAAATAAATAAATAAATAAAATAATAATAATAATAAAATAAAAAGAGAAAAGTAATATTTCACTAAACAATTCTGCCCTCATTCAAGAGTCAATTTTCTTACGCTGTGCCAACTAACTTTACAAAGACTGGCCAATCACAAAGTTCGATGGGTGAAAAGGGAATTCCCCACAGACGTTAGCGAACAAAAGATGTATACTCCAAGTTCATTCAACAACATGAAAAGGTAGAGAAAAAAGCACACCTGAGGATTTGTAACAATTGTATATATTTGTGATGTCAATCTCTCACTTTTTGCTAATGCCGCCTCTTGAATGCCACGACACAAAAATAAAGTCAAAACACCACACATTAATGTTACTGCATGGACGCCGACTGAAGGAAAAGAAATAGCCCCATGGGGGGGGGGGGGGGGGGGGGGTGACGCGGAGATCTTTTGTCAAAAATCTCTTGAGGTGGGTGCCATCACTCACACCCTCTGTTCTGAAGCATTCGCCGTTGAGGCTCCCTATTTTATTTCACACATTTTTCCTTTACTTTAACACGGTCTGTATTCAGCAATGTCAAAAAGTGCCATTATGCAGAATAATAAAGAGCCGTGGTGCTTTATACTCGCGGGGTACTAACTTGTGGTTGTGAACACAAAGAAGCACAAGGTAAACACAGGTCTAATTCTACAGGTTGTACGCTATTTTAAAGCCTGTGCAGACCTTGAACTTTTTTATGATAAATGTTAACCGTTTCTGTACAAAGGCAGGAAGAAAAACACATTGGGGAAGTAACCAAGAGAAGGCACTATATTTACTGAACTGCTCGTGTATAAACCAATCAAGGCCGATTTCATAACCAAAGCGGAAGAGTAATATGATATATATATACAGAGGTAATACAAGTATAAGGTTTATTTAGTTAACAAACATAGACTCTCGGGTATAAATTGCCATGTAAAAAGCTTTTCGCCGTGATTCGACGCTTTCTGAAGAGGAGAGTATTAGTAGCAGTTTAGTAAAAATTCTGTGTTTGACAAAATAGCCCTACTTGCAAGTAGGGAGTCCAGAAAGCCGAAAATGACGATAAAAGAAATTTCCACGATGTCAGGAAACGGTTACTTAAGGCTGTATCTGTGGTGTTTGATAAATATCATTCTAAGTATTGATGGATACAAGGCTCAGAGGTGTCCGGAGCTGTGTCGTTGTGATTTTACGTCCTCGTCACAGGGAATTGTCAACTGCTCTTACAGCCCAGTCCGTGCCCTGCCCCTGGATATACCTATACCACGTAATACAACTGTACTGGATCTACGCTATACCGGTCTGTCTGAGATACCACCACACGCATTTAGCCAACTGGAGGGTCTGAAAGCACTGTATGTCGGAGGAAACAACATAACACACTTTCATGAGGAGAGCTTTGCAGGTTTATGGAACTTGGAACACTTGGATTTGTCTCCACTTCTACTATTCACTAACTTCGATTATGCAACATTCCCTGTAAGGCTGTTTCACGATTTAACACAGCTGAGAGTTCTAATATTTGGGAAAATGAGCGTCACCATGCAGGTGCAACAAGGTTATTTAGACCAAACCTTAGCTCCCTTACATCGATTGCAACAGGTGTTTTTCCCGGGTCTTCCATGGCGTAATTTGGCGTTTGGTCCCGGTTACAGTAATCTCACCTCACTTAAAACAGTTGTGTTTCATGGACATGGATCTGAAGTACCGGTACACCTAAGAAAACACTCTTTTGCCACGTTAAAAAACTGTCCTATTGAACGACTGGCTTTCATCAGCAGCGGTCTTGACGCCGTAGAATATGGCACAATGTCTTCATTTCCACATTTGAAAACACTGGACATAGAGGAAGCATCCTTTGTCTCATTCAGAGAGGTTGAAAAATTTATCTGTGACCTAAACAATACCTCGATTGAAGCACTTCGCATGAACAGTATATTCTCAAAGCGAAATTGGAAATTGGAAGAAAGTTTTTGGAAACTGTCCGCTAACACCTTTCGATGTTTGAAATCCACATCACTTAAATCACTAGAATTACTTCGTGATAACATCATCAACATTGACATTCAAAATTTTGATTTTCTTACTCATTTAGAATACTTAGATTTGTCTGGTAACGACGTTCTTCGTATTTTAGAAAATGGTACACGACCAAGCGGTTGGGATACAATATATCATAAAATATTATTACTTTCAAATCTAACTCTTGTAAGGATGGACCACAATATCTACCATACCGTTTTGGTGAATGTTCAAGATGTTCCATCACATTCATTTTGGTATGGCCGTCCAGAGCTACCTTTAGGACCAGCCAAATTTGAAAACCCATTGCACAAAACACATCGAGGTCCCGTACAAATCTTCAATTCTGAGGGTCCAATTTTGAAAGTTGTTTTGCCTGAAAATATCGAATTTTGGTCTACAAGCTGGTGGGCATCCGGTGTAAATCGTTTCATACTGTGTGACACTTTCAAAGGGTCCGTTTACTTCTATCCAAACAAGCTCAGATATCTCAGATTAGTGAACCTGAGTTTGAATTTACAAAACTTTTGTCCTCTAATTTATGGCCTAGATATACTAGAGTTTCTGGATTTTTCTCATAACGGCATTTACTTCCTTCCAAAATATTTTTTCAATAATTTCATCTCACTGGTATACTTGTACATGAAAGATAACAATTTAGGTCCTTTGATTGCTGAAGGTGGTCTATATCCAATGCAACTCCCACACTTAGAAACCCTCGATTTATCAGTGAACAAAATCAGCACAATACCAAAAGACTTTTTTGGCTATCTTGCTTCCTTGAAACGGCTGGACCTCAGCGACAATCGAATATCAATATTATCCTTCGCCATGGGAAACTTACTTTCCATAGAATACATAGATATAAGCACTAACCAACTGACTGACTTCTCGACATCCGAATTGGACTACATTAGGGAGATGAATGCCAGTAGTTTCAATGTTACTTTGAACGTAAGCAACAATCCACTCGACTGCACCGTTTGCGACGGGAAAGGGTTTCTCCACTGGATTGTCCATTCAAATATGACAATAATAATCTCCAACGACTCCACCTGTTACGTGGATGGATCTAAAACAAGCTTAGAGAGTAGCCTGAGTAGACTTGAGAAGGAATGCGACAACTCTCCACAGACGACCATTTCTTCAAACCAGTGGCTTTCTTTTGGAGTATCTCTTGGTGTCATATCTGCGATGGCCTGGATATGTGGCCTTGTAGTAGCTTTCATTTACCGACGGAATATCAGGTAAATGTGCATAAAATGTTTGATTTTATATTCATCAAATATGTCGCAGATGTGCACAACATTACGCAAAAAATTATATTAAATAATAACGGTAAGGGATTATTTTACGCTCTTTGCAGGATATACTAAGTACAATGAAAATAGAGTGTTAAAATGAATATTTAAGTATATAATTGAGGTAAAATATAGTGTAAGTTATCCAAATGAAACTTAAATTTCAAGAATGGACACAGCTCATTGATATGTGTATAAGCAGTATGGTATAAAAGTGTTTTAACCGTTTAGTCCGACATTTCGGTTAAGTATAAATGTAATGATTCCTGAGTACCTTCATATTTTCTCCGTTAATTTTCTAGATACCACGTCTCACTTCGTCGCCGCCATTTTCGGAAGCGAGGTTTCATTACTGCAACACATGGAGATGACAACGATAATTACTAAATGTCTCTCGGACGTCATCTTCGATGTTAATAATGTGATTGGGCAACCCGAGGAAGATGACTTGACTGAAATCGTGTTGAAGAAGTGATCGTGTTGAAGGTTCTGTACTATATTATATATATATACTGGATTGTTTTTGTTTTTCTTTTTTTTCTGGGATAATTATTCTCTTAATAGATAACAAGCCTACCTATTATAAAATAAGAGTTCATATTATTCAAGAATTATTTGATTGTGAAGTGGAGATTGTTACATTAGAACGTCTTATACATGAGTGAAAGATACATATTCCAACTACAATGTACTGTATATTACAGGCTGAGAGAGGCAATTTCCTTTCACAGCCTGTTCTTAACTATCTGAATGCAAATGTAATGTTACCACTGCTATATCCCAAGCCTAATCCAAACATTCATGGGATTAATAAAAACTTAAAATGATGCGGAAATGTATATATTATATATTTGTCAAAGATCTCTAAAAAGCTCCAAATGATGAACATTATGGAAACAAGAAATGGGTGTTAGAATATTATGGAAATAAACTTACAATTTTGTTAATAATAAGGAAGTGAGAATAAAACAGCTCACCTACAGGGCAGTGCATAGAATTTTCGGTACAAAGAGCTTAATTTTTAAATGCAAAATGGTCAATAACCCCCATTGTAGCTTTTGTAAGACAATTTTAGAAAGAGTCAAACACCTTTTTATTGATGGTGAAATAGGTAAGCAATTGTGGATAGAAGTGAAACAGTGGATACAACAGAAGGTCCCAGTTTAACAATATCACCTTTCGACATTATTGTTGAAAGTGGTAACAATGTATAAAATCTTTTGAATTAAGTCAGTTATGCGAAGACGTAATACAAGGCTCGCATGAAGCACTGTATATATTTTTGTGTATTAATAGTTTGTTGTTTGTCTGTGTGAAATTGAGTATATGATATTTTTTATTATTTTACTGTATTTCGTATTTGATGAGAAATAAAACGAACATTCATTCGTGAAAAAAAAGAGATCTAGTAGAAAAATAGTGTTGCATTTAATAATTCTGCCCTCAGT